TGGGGTTTGAGTCAGTGAAAGGTACTGCTGGAGTCTCGAGCAGTGCCTTTTAAAGAGCCCGCACGTGGACTTACCCAGACTCACTCCATTTGAGCTCCAGCACTGGGATAGTAGCTTGAAAAGCACTGGTGGCATAAGGGAAGGAACTGAAGTGTCTGGCATCAGAGTGAGAGCTGGGGGACAGTTTTTTCAAATGAGAAAAGAAGGCAGAGGCCATGGTTCCTTTCTTGAATTTTTTTCCAGCAGGGCCACAGAGCCAATAGGCATGGGCCAATTTAAGACCTTTTCAATCTGGCTCACATGGTTTGCTCCATCTTGGGGAATCCCTGAGTCTCTGCTCATCCAGCCTATGGCAACACAAGCTGTTGTCAGTGGCTTTTCCACATGAATGGCTGGCCTCAGCTCGGGGTACACATCTTTCTAAATCCTCTCAAATAAGTAAAAACATGCCTTAGTGAGTCCCCAGCCTCTATAATCCTACTCAGCCTCAGGTCCAGCACTACCAGCAGCCAGCTTCAGATCACAGTTTGGCCCACCTGGAACCTCTAAGACCAGCACAAGTTAACAGTCATCTGAAGATTATTTAAAACTCATGAGTGGCCCTGGGCAAAACACAGATGGGAGCTAACCTCAGTCTGCAACACCTGGGAGATGCCAGAGCCTGCACACCCAGTGGACAGCTACAGACCACATTGGAACACCACCACCCCGCCTCTGCACAGCCAGTCTTCCACGAAGGATGGAGGTTTGTGGTCAGTGGACACAGCCAGTCCTTGCAGTTGACTGGCATGGCTGAATCCCTCCCACTGACCTGCCAAGCACAACCAAGGCTCAACTATAAGAGGAGGGTGTACAAAGCCCACGCAGAGGATGCATCTTGAGTATCCTGCTTGGATGATAGGGGAGGCCGTGCCACTGGATCGTACAGAACACCTACTACATTAGGGCACACTACCAAAATAGGAAAGAATAGCAGCTTTATCTGATACATAGACACAAACACAAGGAGGCAGCCAGAATGAGAAGACAAAGAAACATGACTCATATGAAAGAACAGATCAAAACTCCAGAAAAACAACTAAACAAAAGGGATATTAAGAAATCTTTCAAATGTGGAATTCAAAACTGATTATAAGGATGATTGAGGAACTTAGTAAGGATCTCAACAGCATAAAAAAGACCCAGACAGAAATGAAGGATTCACTAACTAAAATAAAGAACAATTTACAGGAAATCAACAGTAGAGTGGATGAAGTCAAGAATCAAGTCAATGATTTGGAACATAGGGAAGCAAAAAACAAGCAATCAGAACAAGAAGAAAAAAGAATCCCCCAAAACCAGGACCATGTAAGCAGCCTCTGGGACAACTTCAGGTATCCCAACATTTGCATCATAGGGGTGCCAGAAGGAGAAGAGTAAGAGCCAAAAAATGGAAATCTATTTGATAAAGTGATGAAAAAAAAAACTTCCCTAATTTGGTAAAGGAAATAAACGTGCAAGTCCAGGAAGCACATGTTTGCAGCCATGCAAACATGATGGTTGCAAAGAGGCCCACTTCAAGACACATAATAATTAAAATGCCAAAGAGTAAAGATAAAGAGAGAATTAAACACAGCAAGGGAAAAGCAGTTAGTTACCTACAGGGGATTCTTGTAAGACTGTCAGCTGGTTTCTCAACATAAACTTTGCAGGTTAGAAGGAACTGGCAAGAAATATTCCAAGTATAGAAAAGTGGGGACCTATAGCCAGGATTGCTCTACTCAGCAAAGCTATCATTTATTTATTTTTTTAATTTATTTTTTATTGATTATGCTGTTACAGTTGTTCTATTCCCCCCCTTCATTCCCCTCCATCCAACCCCCCTGTCCCCACCATTACCCCCCCTTTAGTTTATGACCATGTGTCTCAAGTTCTTTAGATTCTATATTTCCCATACTATTCTTGCCCCCCCATCTATTTTCTATCTACTGTCTATGCTACTTGTTTTCTGTACCTTCTCCCCCCTTCTCCTCCTCCCACTCCCCTGTTGCTAATCCTCCTTGAGATCTTCATTTCTATGTTTCCACTCCTGATCTAGCTGTCCTTTTAGTTTGCTTTTGTTTTAGGTGTGGTTGTTAATAACTGTGAGTTTGTTGTCCTTTCACTGTTCATGTTTTTTTTTCTTCTTTTTCTTAGATAAGTCCCTTTAACATTTCATATAATAGGGGCTTGGTGATGATGAACTCCTTCAACTTGACCTTATCTGAGAAGCTCTTTATCTGTCCTTCCATTCTAAATGAAAGTTTTGCTGGATAGAGCAGTCTTGGTTGTAGGTCTTTGGATTTCATGACTTGGAATACCTCTTTCCAGCCCCTTCTTGCCTGTAAGGTCTCTTTTGAGAAATCCGCTGACAGTCTGATGGGGACTCCTTTGTAGGTGACTGTCCCCTTATCTCTTGCTGCTTCTATGATTCTCTCCTTCATTTTAATCTTGGCTAATGTAATTATGATGTGCCTTGGTGTGTTTCTTCTTGGGTCCAACTTCTTTGGGACTTTCTGAGCTTCCTGGATTTCCTGGAAGTCTATTTCCTTTGCCAGATTGGGGAAATTCTCCTTTATTATTTGTTCAAATAAGTTTTCCACTGGTGGCTGTGCCTTTCCCCCTTCTGGTACCCCTATAATTCGGATGTTGGAGCGTTTAAAGATGTCCTGGAGGTTCCTAAGACTCTCCTCATTTTTTTGAATTCTTGCTTCTTGACTCTTTTCTGTTTGGCCATTATTTGCTTTCTTCTGGTCCACTCCATTGATTTGAGTCCCAGTTTCCTTTTCATTGCTATTGGTTTCTTGTGCAATTCCATTCATTTCAATTAGTTTCTCCTTCATATGTTTCTCTAATTTGTGGCTATAATCAACCAGTTCTGTGAGGATCCTGATGACCAGTGTTTTAAACTGTGCATCTGAGAGTTTTGCTATTTCTTCATCGCTTAGATTTACAGGCTCTGGGGCTTTGAGATCTTTTTGAGCCATTTTTGGTCTGTTGGCGCCCAGTAAGTATGAGGAGCGGAGCCTTGGACTCCCAGGTCACTGGATTGTGACTCAGTATGTGGAGGCAGGGTCAGAGTGGGAAAATGGCGACCCCCTCTGCTGTTTCATGCAGCTGGGTGAAGATCAGAGCCTTAGGTTGTTCACTGGGGCAGGGCCACTTAGGTCGCTGGATTATGACGCTGTACGTGGAGGCGGGGTTAGAGCTGGGAAATGGTGGCGCCCTCCGCCATCTCTTGCGGCTGCGGCTGCTGGCTCTCTCTAATCGCCCACTCCCTGGCTTGTCTATCCACACACGAATGCGCGACCACAGTCAACCCGCAGCCCTGCTCCCCTGCTGTTTCCCCGCAATTGCTTGCTGAGTTGCCCACCAGGTCCAACCCTGCGCCTGGATTCTGTGAGCCTGAGTCCCTCTGACCGAGTTTTCCTGTGCTACCCCGCTCTGCCAGCCGCTGGTTTCGCCCCTCTTACCAGGTCAGGCTGAAGAATTTGTTGTTATCAGACTTCCAAAAAGTTCAATTTTCTGTTTTCTGGCTGTGTTTTCTGTTGCTATTATTTAGTTGCCTCTAAACTTGGTTGTGTGAGGAAGCACGGCGTCTCCACCTATGCCTCCATCTTGGCCAAAGCTATCATTTAGAATAGGACAGATAAAGAGCTTCTCAGACAATAAAATAGAAAAAACCAAAGGAGTTTATTATCTCCAAACTGTGATTATATGAAATGTTAAAGAGACTTATGTAAGAAAAAGAAGACAAAACTTTGAGCAATAAAATGGTAATAAACACATACATATCAACAACTGAATGTTAAAAACAAACTAAGCAAACAGGAAGAACATAAATGGAGTCATGGATACAGAGGGAGTTTTTAACCATTGCCAGATGAAAGGGCGGGGGGGGGGTGAGGTAGTGTGTGAAGAGGTGAGGGGATTAAGAAATACAAAGAGGTAGTCATAGATGTACTTTACATCCCCGTGGATGTAAAGTACAGTACAGGAAATGGAGTAGCCAAAGAACTTATACTCGGGACCTGTGGATATGAAAAAAGGGATAGGGGTTGCCCGAGGGAGTGGGAGGTGTTGGGAGGGGAGGGAAAAGTGGGAAAAATTAGGACAATTGTAGTAGCATAGTCAATAAAATTTAATTTAAAAGGAAATAAAAAAATGTTATTAAGAAAATATATTTACAGTATTTATTCAAAATATGCATATGAGGGCTCATGCAGCTCAAATCCATGGTATTCAAGGGTCAACTGTGTATTTTAAAATACCATTAAAATGCTAGAATGTTATTTTTCACTTTGTATATTAACAAGATCAGTTAAACTACAATTATCTGAGAATCTTGCTTAGTTGGAAGTATTATGTCTTTAAAATTGAGCTATTTACAGGAATGAATAACCTTTGGAAAAGTTTTTTTGTAAATTAACGACTATATTTGGACTAGCTGTGCTAAGGTAATAGCCATTTAAATAATGATAATGAGATCCATCTCATTATAAGTATCCATGATAGTGCCAGTTATTTATTTCTAACTTTTATATGTTTCCTAATTTTTAAATGGCAGATACACCATTTTGGGGGGTAAATGAATGTGCTAATAATTAGCCTTCCATTTTCAATCTTTTTATTCGTGTTTCTTTTATCCTTTGAAAGTATAGACCAATGCAAATTTTATTACATTTCATAAATTAATTTTTAAGGTAATATCTGATTTAAAAACACATAGGTCTTGCTATTGATTTAGATACATTTCCAGCTAGAAAAATTTTTAGAGTAGGTTTCACATTCCCATAAACATTATAAATATTATTTAAAAACTAACCTAATTTTTAAAATATTTTTGAAATAAGTATGACTAAAATTTAATGTTTATTTCCTGATTGTGTCTATTAGTTCTTAACCACAATCAAGTAAATTTAATAGTTTTATACTTTTTGCTCTACTTTAGATTTTAAAAGCATAGTGCTTTTATTTTACAGATTGTTGCCTTGCGTGAACAAAATGTTCATATACAAAGAAAAATGGCATCAAGTGAGGGATCCACAGAATCAGAACATCTTGAAGGGATGGAACCTGGCCAGAAAGTCCATGAAAAGGTATGACCCATATGACAGGATCTTACATGAAAACGTTTACTTACTATATGATTTTATAAGGATATGAAATATGAAATCTATGTAATAAATATACTTTTATTTGTCAAAGTAAATGACGATTTCTTTTATTGCTCTCAATTTGATCCTCTTAAAAATGTGTGTTTATGCATATAGATATTTGAATTTCTCATTACTTACTGTTAACTTGATTCTCTTAAAATAATTCAACTATATAACTCATGGAATATATATCACTGTTTAAATGTATCCATATAGAAGTAAATATATCAATAATTTATAGCCTGGACTATTCAAAGTACAAGAATAATAATTTTTATTTATAAATGGTATTATACAGAATTGTCAAATAATCTGTGACATCACATCAAAAATTTTTTGATAATTTCTTATGTGACTTAGAATTTTCTATTTGAGAAGGCTTTGGCAATACTGCTGTTAATGATAAATTACATAAAAGAATATTTAAGGTCGTGCTATTTTTGCTGGTGTTTTTGGAATGGAGTGATTGTCTTTTCAGTGGGGCTTAGTCGCAGGCGGAGGAAACCAGCAGTTTGTTGAGCCCTTTTCTCTGCTCCAACCACTTGCTTGGCACAAGGGGAAGAAGGCTCATTGCTGGTCGGTCTGGAATCCGATTACAGATTACAGTCACGTGCACGTGCTCTGCCAGAGGCTTCGACACTCTCCTGGATATCTGATTTTAACAAATTTTACCTTTGGGCGGTTGAACTCTTTAATTACCAAGATCACATGAGTCAGATAGGTAAATGGCATCATAAATGTCAAGAGGTTTTAAAACATAGAGATTAAGAAGCCACAAAACAAACAGCACAAGAGCTTTTACTAGAAAATAAATTGAGCACTTTCTCTCTCACCCAGGTGAAACAAATGGAGAGGCTTCTTATGTTTCCAAATTCAGGTAAAAAAGCAAAGGAAGCCAAATGAACCAGACTGATTCTTGAGACCGCCATCAGTTCTGGTGGCTAAGAAGCAAATACCTCTTTGTTTAAGGCTTCCTTATCCTAATTTTTATCCATGTATTTTATAGAAATCTTAAACTAAGTATTAAAAACAAAATATAATCTGACAGCTAAATTTCATGAGCTGTATTTAAAATCTAAATAAACAGTATTTCTTTCAGGGAAGTAAACTGACATTAATTCAGTAAATAAGCTACCAACCACTTTAGAATAAGGCATTTGCACAAGAAAGTCAGTGTAGAAAACTAACATGAATTTATTATTACAGTTTCATTTTATTTTCTGAGCATTACATTTATTTCTTTTACATTTATTTTATATTATATTTATTTTATTTCATTTCATTTTATTACCATTTTATTTTCATTATAGAATCACATTCATTTGGTATGAAGTGGACTTTACAGTCATTCTGTCTTTTTTGTTAGAAGTCTACAAAATATTATTTGTATAACAATGTTGTATTTATGCTCATCCAGACTAGAATGAAAGAAATATGGCTTTCAAAGGCACAAAAACTTCAGATCTTGTTTATTTTCTAAAAAATCTATCTGATGCTAAAGAATTCTTCTAATACTTCTGGGAAGGATGAATACTCATACAAATTTTTTTTTCCAATATCATTTCTTTAAAATAAATCCTAAATATCCAGACCTTGTAGAATGTAAGAACTCATGTCAGATTAATTTTCAGAAACCATTTACAGAATTAGGACAATGGGTCTGTGTATAATTGACGTTTGTGTCCTTTGGACTCCAGGGAGAGTTGGTGACCTAAAATACTTGTCTTTAACTAACTTTCTTTGCCTCCCATTTCTTGGTGAAGGCATTCCAGCCAGAGTAGAACAATCGTGACATTGCTATCTTACTCACCCTTTTTTAGGGTTGCAACTACAGATTTTTAAAAATTATAATTCTTGATATTCTTTTTTTCAACTTTCCATAATTATAGGAATGGTGATTTCCAAATGCTTTGGAATAATGATGTGCTAATATTGTTTGATACATTATGCCTTTATCCTCAAACTGAACCTAAAATATGCCATGCATATATATATGTATTTGTATATTTTAAATGTAAAAGGAAGTAAATTGTGTTTCATCTCATATTACACCTGAGATGATTCACAAAAGTACTTCAAAATATTTATTTATAACACAACTCTTTACCTGACATTTTTCCAGGTTTATTGTGATATAATTTACATAGAAAATTGTGTAAATTTAAGATCTACAATGTGACAATTGGGTGCATGGATAAATCCTAAGTGATTACTACAGTAAGGTTAATTAACACATTCATCACCTCACGTAATTATCATTTATGTGGGGAAGGCTGAAGGATATTAAAGACCTACTCTCAGCAATTCTCAAACATACGACACGTTCCTTTAACTATGATCACCATGATGCACATTAGACCCCCGGAGCTATTTCATCTCCCTACTGCTGCCATTTCCTGATAAAATATGAAATAACATTCTAATTAGCACTTTATCATCCTTATGTAGATATTCCTCAAATATACACATATAACATTATAAAATATATTTTCAAAATTACCCCATAACAGGATTATTTAAAGTGTATCAAGTATAACAAATATCACTGGATTGTAATTTAAATCTTAACATATAGATTTTATTGAGAAATTCTTAAAAGGTATATTCAAACGGAGACAAGGAGCACATTAATTTTGGGAGTGTCTGTGTGATAAAAGTCACCAGCGTAGGATGACTGTCGTATTAGTGTGTAAATTGCAAGTGGTTTTAGAGGAAAAAACACCACACTGTAGTTAGGTGCTGTGAGCCATCAGAAAGTGATTCATGAACCCTAGTCACATAGATTACCCTTTGTTTACAGCAGTCGAGTCACTTAAATTACATAGTCTGGGTGGGTTATTAGCCAACAGGAGATGTGTTATATCAGTGGCTTGAGAAGTCTGCTGACAAAATAGTTGACAAAAATAGTCTCACAAAAGCACACTCTAAAACAGGCCTTTTTACTCATAGAAAAGTTGCGTAATTATTGACATTTTACAAACAAAACATGAAAAAATATAGGCAGAAATAAATCAAGTTTAAATGTTACTATATACCATAAATTGAATCATTTATTCTAGAAAAGCATAAATATTCCTAGGTTAATAAAAATTTTTAGAACCCAAAATTTTATCTCACTAAGAATTCAGAACTGAGCTTGGTAACTTTGTGTTACTTTCTAGAGGATAGTTAATTTGTAAATTTTTTTTCAGTAAACATGCTACTCCAGTAAAAGAAATAATAATGCTCCTAACTTGTATATTATGCACTTACAATTATTTTTTCCAGCTGTAAATATTTACTAGGTGATGTGAATAAATATAATGTTAAACAGTGGTGGAGACTCAGGAGACATAGTCTCTGTAATAAATTCACTAGAAAACTGGAGTGAGAAATAAACATGCCCAAATTAATAACTGCAAAAAATGATAAAGTGGAGTCAAAATGATACTAGAGATTAAAGAAGAGATAAATTATTTCTGATTGGAAGTGTCAGAGAGGCAGTGTGGAATAATGAGTTGTTCGAAGTCAGTGGACCTTTATGCAAATTCTGTTTCTGATGATTACTAGTAGTGTGTGACCTTGGGCTTCAACCTCCCTGAACATCAGTTACAGGGAAATACTCTTATCTTACAGCTTTGTTACAAGGAATAGAAGCACTGACTATGCATGAAAAAAATCTTGGCACATTGATTACAAATATTAAATAGTGTGGTTATAATATTTCTTAATATGGGCTTTCATGTTCATCATTCTAAAATAAATATTTACTGATGATCTTACTAATGTACCAGGAAATACGTCCTGTTATAGGTTAGGTCAGAGTAATGAACAAGACAGGTGAGGGCACGCCCACATAAATGAGAAAAGGGAGCCAAAAGGCAAGTATATATCTCAAAAAGTCTCCTGTAAAGCTATTGAAACTAGTAGGAGTATTTTGTAAATTGTCTGGTTACACTGGTTACCCACAAGTCAATGTGAGGATACAGGGTTTCAGTGTGGGGTGATAAAGTTCTGGAGATGGCCAGTGGTGGCAGATGCACCACAGTGTGAATATATTTAATGCCACCAAACTGTACAATTAAAATGCTTAAAATACTACATTTTATGTTACATATATTTTATGACAATCAACAAAATCAATGACTTGGATTACTTGAAAAAAGAAAAACAACAAAAAATGTATTTAAAAGGAGAGGATGTGACCAAGAGGTAGGTCCAAGGCAGGTGGGAGAAAGACTGATAGACAAGGCAAGGGAAGGCCTTCTTTAGGAGTCAGAGTTTGACCTGGGACCTGAAGGATACAAAAAGTCAACCACATAGAACAGCTTAGAGTTTCTGAGGCAAAGGAAACACTAAGTGTACCAAGGTGTCCCAAGGTGCCCCAAGGACAGGGAAGAGCTTCTCTGGTACATTTTCTGGAAGGAAAGGTGAGAGGGACACTGAAGCCTCGTGGCCAAGGGAGAGAGCAGCGGGGGACAGGACCCAACTGTGAGAGGGGCCAGATCGGTTAACGTCCTGTAGGCTATGCTGGAAGTCCGATTTCATCCTCAGAGCAGTGAGAAGATGTAGTCAGTAGTGTTTTAAACATGGAAGCGCATTGATTAGATACTTTTTAAACACTCATTTGCATTATAGCTAATGGATTAGTCTTTTTCTTTCATGTATCAGAATTTCAAAGTACGTAGAGATTTTTCTTTTAATTTTATGGGTAATGAAATGGAGACTTAAGAAGATTAAATGACTTATTTGGCCAAAGCAGGACCAGAACCTTTGTCTTTTAACCTCCAGAAAAGAGAATATCGTGTGTTTATATTTCTTCATGCCAGTATGATTTCTCTAGGTGTTTTGGTAATGTTTAAAAATCCATGCTAACCCAGAATTATTTTTTCTAATTATTTATTCTTTCATAATTATACATATCTGTTTCCTAGAGTTGATTATTTTATTACTGAATATGT